CTGGGAGGGAAAGTGTGCCTGTGTGCATGCCTGGTGAGCGTGTGGGGGCCTGCTGGTGGGCATCTGAGAGTACGGCATGCCTATGCCGCAGTGGCTGCCTGTCGAGGAACTCGTGGGCGGGTTCTGGAGCATCTGGTGTTTGACGTGTGCTAGTCTGTATGGCGTGTAAGGACAGCTTTGGGTAGTTCTGAGGACCGCTGGAGTGGTGTCCAGGGTGTGAGTGGGGCTGTGGGTCACAGGTATAGGAGTCTTAGGCGAACAGTTGGTTGGGGGTGGCCCTGCAGTATTCAGGACAAGGATTCCAGAGGCTGAGGGCCTGTGCTCATGTCTCAATTCTAAGCCCCAGGCTCAGTGCCTACATCTGAGAAATGGGGACAATAAAACTCTGGGAGGCCGTGACAGCCGAAGGAGGTCAAGTAAGTTAAAGTGTGTCCAGTGCCTGACGTGGGGCAGGCCCTCGGCTGTGGTGGGCAGAGGCCTCCAAAGCCTCCTGAGCACCCCCAGTGGCTTCCCGGGGCTCAGACCTTCACCAGCTGCTCAGGGAGCCTGCAGCCGGGAGTCTGCTCGCCAGACTGGTGGTGGTAGAGAGCAGAAGGTTCAGGGGCTTCTGTGGTGGGCACTGCCCACCGGCCAGCGCCTTGAGTCTGGTGGGGGTGGGGATATGAGCATGAGAAAGGTCATTTACAAGTTGTGAGGTTTGTGTCTGAGTCTGAGGTTGTTCGCCATGGGGAGAATGTGCAGTGGTGTGTGATTTGGGGACCGTGGTAGGAGTGTGTAGGGGCATCTGTGGGGTGTGTCACGGGAGGAGAAAGGTGCAGTCGTGTGTCTGTGAAGCTAGGGATATAGCACATGTGTGGGTGTGTTCCAGGCTGTATTGTCTATGGGCTGAGGTGGACACATGTTGGTGTCAGTAAATGTTGCCTGTAACCTTGTGGTGTGTGTGTGGGCATGTGTGTGCCAACTGTGTGTTTTTGTGGGGTGTGGCTGTGTGTGTACTGTGATGTGTGCATGAGAATGTTGGGCTGGATTATCAGTTAGCTGCAGAGTGTGTGTGTGTGTGTTGGTGTGTGGGTGTGTTTCACAGGCAGAGGGTCTGGGTTTACCCGGGAGGGGTGCAGTGAGGTTTCAGGGGGAGGCTGCAGGTCCTGGGGCATTTGGATTCTGTTCTACTCTAAGGGAATAGTATGGATAATTATGCTAATTATGCACAGATTATGCAAATGGAGGGTCATTTGGGGGTCAAAGGCAGTTGTCCTCTGCCTCCTTTGGCACTCGGTGACTCCGGAGGCGTTCCCTGCTGCCTCCCAGGCTCAGTCCCCTGCCCCCATCTTTTGCCTCTCTCCTCTCTGTCCTCTGGGGAGCTTTAGCTAGCAGCACCCCTGTAGTGTTCCTGGGAGCGTCTAAGGAGCCCTGGCCCCCCAGCGGCCCAGGGATGGAGAGAGCTGGCACTCAGCTGCCTGGCTGGTGCTGGGCAAGATGGCACCCTGCAGCTGCCTTCCTGCCCCCACAGGTGTCCCCAGCATTTAGCTTCCCAGGGCAAGTTCAGGGGTACCTGGGTTATTGGCCCTTCCAATGGGGGTTGCTTATTATTCAGAAAGAATGTTCTCTTAGATGCAGGTTTGGAAAATCACTGAGGTGGCCCCTTCCCCAGCTTTGTCTCTGAGTGTGAGGCTAAATTAAGATGTGAGAGAATTCTCTCCCTCCGCTCCCACTCTCGCCTTCCCATCGTTCTCTCCCACGTGAGTCCCCCCTCTGCTTCCCCCTCCTGTCCTCCGCTGCATCCCTCTGACCCTGGCTTCCTCCCGTCCCTGTTTCTGCCCCCTCCTCCCTGCCATCATCTCTGTGGCTCCAGCTCCCCCTCTCCTGCCCCCCATCTCTGTGGGGAGCTGGAGCTCCCAGTCCTTAGCATGGAGGAGATGGTTGCCTTGGTAACGGTTGTCATGTCGATGGCTACTGAGCTGGGGATGAATAGCATCTAGGTGAGAGCTACCTGAGTGGAGGCTGATGGCTTCACAGGAGGATCCATGCTTGCCTCAGCCTCAGACCTGCATAGCGTGTGCCCCCACCCAGTGCCCACCCCCATGCATGTGCCAGCTTGCACTCAAAGGCATGCCAACACGCAGTGCCTCTATGTGGCTGCCTTTAGGTGAGTGTGCATCAGGATGTGCCTGTATATGTTCTGTGTGTCTCGGTGTCATTTAAAGGGTCTATGTGGCTTCGATGGGGGTCTTTGGATTTGTGCTGGCCTTCCTGGTGCAATGTGAGAGGGGCTGGTGTGGGGCACTAGTTACTGAGGAATCATGAGGACTCCCTATTTTGACTCCCAAGTTTACCCCAGCTTGGGGGTCTTCAGGGACCACAGACTTCTTAGACCCCCTCCTCCCAGCTACAGGTCTCTCAGCCACTCCCCACACTGCCTGGAAGGAAAGAAAATAGTGAAGATGGCCCTGCCCTGGGGCTGGAGCCGGGGCCTAGTGGCTGCTGCATCCCCAGCCTTCGGTGGGGCCCTGAGCAGGAGCTGCACGCCTCTGCCTCAGGCTGCTCGCCTAAGAGCTGAGCAGGAGGGCCCCAAGTAGCTCCAGCTTTGCTGGCCAGGTTGTGGGGGCCAGTAGTGCAGGGACCCTTCTAGGGGACTTGTTCTTCTGGGTGGTGGGAGCGGACATGGGAGCTGGGGAAAGTTGGAGGACAGCAGCTCTGAGCTCCTGGAATGTCTAAAGCGGAGGAAGACCCAGCAATTAGTCACGGGAGCAATTACACTAATTGTTCCACTCTGTGACTCACTGGTAGCAAGTAAATACTGATTAATTCATTACTTTGAGACTGTGTGTGTGTGTGTGTGTGTGTGTGCATGTGGTGGTGGTGGGGGTAACAGAGTTGGGTTGGGTGGGGTGGGGGAATCTCCTGGCTCCCTGCCCTGGCCTCCGTCCCTGGCTGGCCTGGGTACGGCTTTGGAGCAGGTGGTCCAGGCTGGGGTCAGGAAGCCAGAACTGGGAGCCTCCCTCTAGATCTCTATTAACTCCAGGTGGGGGCCTGCCGGGGGTGGGGTTGTGAGAGGCTGAGCATAGAAGGCCATGCCAAGCCAGTCCCTCCTCTGCTCCTGTACCTTCCGTGGCTCCCCACTTTGGTCAGACAGCCTCTACCTCAGACCTCCTGAACCCTGAATTCAGTTTGCACAGTATTCTGATGTGTAGTCAGAATGAAAAGTGACCAGTTGCTAAGATGCAGTTATCAGCCAGACACTGAAAGCCTTCTGTGATGGGGCTTCCCCAGCCTTAGCTCCAGGCTGTCCCCACTCTACCCCTGCTCCAGGAATGAGTCACATCTTCCAACTCCAACTCTATAACTTAACAGGCATTTCCAGAGTACCTACTTTGTGCCAGACATGGTAGGTTCCATCAAGGTATAGTGGGGGGCACAGTCACAGACCAAGTACACGCTCAAACACACACAGCTCACAAGTAGTGATGTAAATTCAGAAGTACAACATGCAGATAGATCAAGGTAGGAGGGCTTCTCGACAGAAGTGACAGAGGAGCAGGAGTTGGCTGGCGAAAGGTTGGAGAAGGAGGGGATGGGAAGGAAGAGTGTTCTAGGCAGATGGAACAGCATGAGTGAAAGAGGCAGAAGAGGACAGGCATGTTCCAGGAACAGCAGGGTCCAGGATAGCTGGAATCAAATGAAGGGGTGCAGAGGAACCCTGGATGAGGCTGGGGGATGGGTGAGGCCAGGTTGCGCTTACCCACGTCTTTTGCTTATTCTGTTCCGTCTGTTGGGGATGCATTTCTTTCGGTTGTTTAAGCCCTGACTGCTAATCCTGCAGATCTAAGCACCAGGGGTCAATCTTGCCTTCCTTGGGAAAGCTCTTAGGGGTCAGGGACTGACTGGGCTCAGTCTGGAGCCCCGGGTCAGAGATGTGACTGGGGGTTGGACCATGCCTGTCCCTCCCAGCAGCATTGTCCTCCTGCCTTGGGTGTCCCCAGCATTTCAGTTGGGAGGGACAGTCTGGGCCCAGGAGCCCTAACAGCCGGCCTTCCCAGGTTCTGACTCCGGACAGAGTCCTGGCCCTGGGGGAAGCTCCTTACCCCTCCTGACCTCTGACCCACTTCTTCGTAGTAGAAGTGGAAGTGACTTCCAGCCCCTGAGCTGACCCTGGGCTTTGAGATACTTTTGGGGGATGTGGGCTGACTTCCTGCTCAGGGGAGCCCTCCCTCCTTCCTCTGCCTTCTCTCTACCCACCCTTATCCTAGGTGCTTCCCTCCCAGAGCCCCAGATCTCCCCATCACCCGGTCTATCTGATGGCACTAACTGCCCTCCTTTGAGGTTTTGAGAAGTGGACTTGGGCTCCCTTGCGGAGTCTGCGTCTCATTATGTCACATGCTCTCTGTTGACTGGAGCCTAAGTTTTGTCCTCTGTGGAGTGGGGTGGATGGCTTTCCTCCTCACCTCCTTTTCCCAAGGACTCGGATCTTGTCTGTGAAAGGCCCTTAGAAAGTGGGGCCATGACCCTGGTCGCACCAAGTACACTAGCCCTTGCTGAGCGCCTGTTGCATACCAGGTGCTCAGCACTGCACACATTAGACACTGCATGTTCACAGCCCCGAAGGCAGATGGGCTTTGCTTATGAGTAAGGGGTAAACAGGCATGGAGAGACTAAGGAGCTTGCCCCAGGTCACACATTTAGGGAGCCATGGAGCCGGGACTCAAACCCAGCATTCAGGCTCTCACCTGGGTCTGCCATCCAGCAGTTCTGCTCAGGGAATGAGGGAGTGACCAGGGTCCCTAGTGGTGGCCGTCAGGCAGGAAGATGGGGCTGCACCCCTGGCCCCTGGCTGGGTGGGAGGTGGTAAACAGGCCTGCCCCAGGTCTCTGCCCACATCATGGCCACATCGGATGTAGTCCCTTTGTTGCTGCTCTGCCCATGAGCATTAATGTTGTCCCTCTGGGCATGTCCAGGCTGCCAGCTTCAGGTGCTAAGCCCTGTGTCCCCTCTGCCCCCCCCAGGCTCAGCGCTGGCGCAGCGAGAACTTCGAGAGGCCTGTGGACCTCGAGGGCTCTGGCGACGATGACTCCTTTCCTGACGATGAGCTGGATGACCTCTACTCGGGGTCAGGCTCAGGCTGTAAGTACCTCCCCCTTCCCTTTTCCTGCGCATGAGCAGTGGCCCATCCAAAGCGCTGAGGGCAGGGAACACGCAGACTCTTTCAGTCATGGGTCAGGGAGGAGGTCATGCAGGGGCACTCGTGGGCCTCAAGCACGAGAAGGGCCAGCCGTCCCCCCAGGGGCAGAGCCAGGGCCCTGAGACCTCAGAGCTCCGGACCCCCAGCTCCCCACTGCTGCTGTCTCTGTGTCTCTGGACACATGGCTTGTATCTCCCTGCAGACCTTTCTGCCTCACTGAGCACTGATGCCCCTCAAATTCAGCCCCTCTGACTTCTCGAAGGGACTTAGTAACCACTTCTCGGTTGTCGTAGCAAATTCTCAGCAGAGACCATTGGATGGGCTTCCCGGGGAGCCTGGGACAGCCCTGTGGCCTAGCCCTGTCTATGGCCCCACCTTGGGAAGGCCTGCAAAGTGGTGTGAGACAAGAGAGGTGCTCCCATTTCGAGTCCCAGATGTACCACTTAAAAGCTGTGCTACCTTTAGCCACTTTCTCTCTCTGAGGTCTCTGTATGCTTATCTGTAAATGGTGAAAAATATGCCTTCTTCTCAGAGCTTCTAGAAGGCTTCAGCATAAGTATTCAGGGTCTGGTGCAGAGAAGGAGCTCTTAAGATGGTAGTAAAGGGGTGTGTGCTGAGATTGGGCCTAGTGAGGGGACAGTCTGGGTCTGATGGGATGGTAGGAGGTCCATGTGCCACAGAACTGGTCACCTGCAGCCCCTTGCCTCTAGTCTCCCCGCTGTCGTCTGCTCTTTTAAGCCTCTTGCAAGTTAATCTCTGTAAAGTCCATCCCTGATGGGTCATGTCTGTACTCCCAGCCCTCCCCGGCTCCTGTCCGCCCCTCCTTTGCCTGCAGCAGGCCCCCTGGGAGCTGGCTGTGGCTTCTCCTTTCCTCCGCCGCCGTCCTTTCCTCACTGGTCCTGGCTTTGAGTCAGCCCCTGCAGGAAGGGCTTGCTCTGTCTCTTGCCTTCTGCCTGAATCCAGTGGGGAGCGCCTCATGTACCTACCACCCTGTGTACACGGTTGGTGTCCTCAGGTCCGACTCTCCCCAGAATGCCAGTCCCCTACTCCTCTCCACCTCCAGGAAGATTGCGGCCAGTAGGGTCTAAGTCCCCACTGCCTGGGTTCAGCCCGCTGGGAGGTTGGATGGGCCGGAGTGGGCTGGAGTAGTGAGGACTGCAATAATAAAAGGAAGCCTTCTTAGAAGGGGTGATGCCCTGGAAGAGTTTCTGACCAGGCAGAGAAGAGTTGCGGAAGCCAGCTGGTAGCTGTTGACCATGCCTCCTCCCTGCCCTCTTCCATCCTGGGAAAGTTGTGCAAAGAGCGAGGATTGGGAGCCCCCGTCTTGATGGCTGGGACCCTCAGGCCCTCACGATTACCCAGTTCCCTAGCTCTCTCCTCTCCTGCACCCCCTCAGACTTCGAGCAGGAGTCGGGCATCGAGACAGCCATGCGGTTCAGCCCAGATGTGGCCCTGGCAGGGCCCACCACACCTGCTGTGCTGCCCACCATGGACATCCAGCCTGTGGGCACCCCGTTTGAGGAGCTCCCCTCTCAGCACCCCACCCCGCAGCCAGCCACCAGCCCCCCAGTGGTAACAGAGGTCCCAGAAGAGCCCAGCCAGAGAGCCACCACCATCTCCACTCCCACAGCGACCACAGCTGCCACAACCACAGGGGCCCCTACCGTGGCCATGGGGCCTGCCACAATGGCCCCCGCTGCCTCCAGCATCCCTGCAGCACCCCCTTCCACAGCTGTCACCTCTGTCATAAGGACCACCAGTGTACGGAGGCTTCTGCCTCTTCCACTGACTACAGCAGCCACGGCCTGGGCCACCACCCCAGCGGCGCCCTCACCTCCCACCACAGTGGCTGTCTTGGACACAGAGGCCCCGACACCCAGGCTAGTCAGCACGGCTACCTCTAGGCCCAGGGCCCTTCCCCGGCCAGCTACCACCCAGGAGCCCGACATTCCTGAGAAGAGCACTCTGCCCCTGGGGACCGCTGCCCCTGGACCCTCAGAGGTGGCTCAGGTAAGCGGGTTAGGGGAGGGCTGAGGGTGAGAGCAGAGGGGGTGGGGCAGGGCCTGGGGGAGGAGGATGGAGTGGGCAGGAGGTAAGGACAGGCAGCTGAGCCAACCAGGGATGGGGAGGGCAGAGAGTCCTGAGGCTGGAGGGCAAGGCTGGGGTGGGTCCCAGGATGAGGGCAGAGGTCAGGCTGGATGGTGGGAGAAGGGGGACCGGGCCTGGGTCCCAGGATGTTGGGACAAGACAGCCATGGAGCAGGACTGGTGACTGCGCTGTTAGTCAGGAGGGGCCGGGGCCTGTGTTCTGGTTAAGGAAACTTGGCAGCCAGCAGCCTGGCTTGGAGTTCTTCCACCAACCTCCTTTGGCCATGGGACTTCAAGAAGCCACTGATCCTTTCTATACCTGTGAAAAGGAGAAAAAAATAGAATGCAAGTCACTGTTGTGAGAATTATGTTTCCCGACATATTCAAAGTGCTTAGTGCCTGGCAATAGTAAACAAACTAAAAGTTTTGGTATTATTGTCACCACCACTGTTGTCATCGTTATTAGTCTGAGGGCTGCTAAGAGCAGGGTTGCATGAGAGGGGTGCTCGTGGCTCACATTTGGGGGTGCTGCCTGCTGGTGGGCTCAGTGCTCAACTCTCGCGGTGTCATCTCCTCTTGTCCCACCCCCACACCATGGGTGGCACTGCCATCATCCCCCTTCTACAGACAAGGCTACTTTCCCAAGGCTTGGCCGTTGGCAATGGCAGCAGAGGCAGGATTCAAACCTGGCAGGCAGCTCCAGAGGCCAGGCCTGAGTGTGTGTTGAGGGTGTTGTGGGTGGGGGTTGAAGGGAAGAGGATGGGGGATGAAGTCAGGAAGGCTGGGGGATGGGAGCTGGGCAATGGGCGCAGCAGCCTCATCCCTGCTGGGACGCTGGGCAAAGAGGGTGTATGCTGACATTTTTTAGGGTGTGAAAGCCCTCTGTGGTTGGCCTCACGGAGGAGGGCTCTCAGGCTGGGGGGCTGCTGTTAGGTCCACATCAGCACCCCTAACTCCCAGCCAGTCCAGCCGGACGCAGGCCGGCCCTCGGCTCCTTGAGCAACTGGCCCAGCCTGGTGTTTCGCAGGTGCTTGGCCAAGCAGGAGGGTGGGGGAACCACGATGGCATGGGGACCAGTGACAGGTGCAGCCTCTGTGCGTGGCCTCTTGGCCTGGACAGCAGGCCCACCCTCTCCATGCCCACCAGTGAAGCAGCCACACCCCAGCCCCGATCCCAGCTCTGCCCCAGCCTCCACGTGGTGGGAGCCGACAAGATTCACGGCCACTGGTCTGGTTTCCTGGACCCCTGCCCCCAAGAGACATTGTACTTAGCGGTTGTGCTCTTGAACTGACCTCCAGGCTAAGGGACTCACCCCTGCCCCAGGCATGTGGACAGGGGACCAGAGTATATAACTGTTGTATCCAGCAGTCCCCAAACAGCAACTTGACAGGACCCCCCTAAAAGAGCATTACTAAGGCAGCTGGACAGAGAAGTGACAGAGATGGGATGGGGACAGGACGTGGCCAGGTGAGAGCAGAGGCAGTACAGTATAGGGTTAGAAACAGACTCTGGAGTTGGATAGAGCTGGGCTTTAGTTCTACTTCTACCGCTTACTAGCTGAGTGTCCTTGAGCAAGTAACTCACCCTGTCTGAGCCTATTTTCTATTCTATTAGGGTTAATAGTACCCCCTTCATGGGGATGTTATGAGTAGAATACCCATACATGCTTAGCACAGTGCCTGGCACATAGTGAGTGCTTATTAAGTCTTAGCCACACTAGGGAAGTGGAGTGGTGGTAATGGGTGTGTGTATGTGTGCGTGTGTGACTGCCCTGTGGCAGTGGGTGCTGGGGCCTGGCTCCTGGACTCATGCCACCCTCTCTACAGACCCCAACTCCAGAGTCCTTCCTGACCACGATTCGGGATGAGCCAGAGGTGCCAGTGAGCGGGGGACCCAGTGGGGACTCTGAGCTGCCGGAGGAAGAGACGACACAGCCAGACACAGCCAATGAGGTGGTGGCTGTGGGTGGGGCTGTGGCCAAGCCATCACCTCCACCTGGGACACTGCCCAAGGGTGCTCGCCCAGGCCCTGGCCTCCTGGACAATGCCATCGACTCGGGCAGCTCAGCTGCTCAGCTGCCTCAGAAGAGCATCCTGGAGCGGAAGGAGGTGCTTGTAGGTGAGCTTGGGGCCTGGGAGGAGCTCACAGTGAGGCGGCTAGCTGGGCCTTGGTTTGCCCTCTAGGAACCCTGGTTCCTAGGAGCCTAGTTTTTTAGGACAGGAAAGTTGGGGACTTGACCTCCAGGACCTTCCCTCTGACCTTCCTTCATCCCATGATCCATCCCTGGCTTCCTCTTCTTCAGCACCTTCAGACACCTCTTCAGACTCTGGCCTTGACCCCTGCTTCCCTGGGCCATGCTGGTTGACCCTTCCCGTATCTTATGCCCTGGATCCTAAGCTCTGACCTCATTCTTTGGCTTGACCTGCCCCTAACCTTGATACCTGCCCTGGGGCCCTGCCGTGGCCGCATCTCCTGAAGAGGCTCTGAACTTGTGATCCAAACCCTGCTCCCCACTTAGGAGTGTGACCTCAGGCAGGTCCTTCATGCTTCTTCATGTGTAGAATGGGGATAACCATTTCCCACTTAATCCGTCTCAGTGCACATCTGTTCATGTGTTATGAAGTCTTCATATGTTGTGTCAACTCTCCTGTAGTTGGGATGTGTCCTAGTTTAGTGGGCAGAGCTTTTTCTTCCCTAATAGTACCTAAAATACCAGAGCATCTTCGAACTGATGGGATCTTAACGTCTGACAAGGATCCTAGCATCTTCCTCATAGCATCATATGCGGATCTGATGCGTTTGTGTGTGTTAGGTGCCCAGAACGGAGCTAGGCCACAGTGAGGCAGCCTGTGCTCGTGGCGTTAGAATTGACTCCAATTCTGCCCCGGCTCCAGACTCAGATCTGAAACCCCTTGCCCTCTCCCTACTCTTGCGCCCACCCCCAGCGTCCCCTGCCCTCTCGCCAGGCGCTGATCTGGTCCCACCCTGCCCGGGCCCCTGACCTCTGCCTTCTTCCTCCACAGCTGTGATCGTAGGCGGGGTGGTGGGTGCCCTCTTTGCTGCCTTCCTGGTCGCGCTGCTTGTCTACCGCATGAAGAAGAAGGATGAGGGCAGCTACACGCTGGAGGAGCCCAAGCAGGCCAGTGTCACGTACCAGAAGCCTGACAAGCAGGAGGAGTTCTACGCCTAGCGGAGACGTGGTGCTTCCCTGTAGCCCCAGCGCCACCCATCTGCTCGGTCCCCAGCCCAGCTGCACCAGCCCCGGCCTGGGACTGGGTCTGGGAGGGAGCCTGGCCCCACTTCATCTCAACCCACCCTCCCAAGGCCTGCCCATATCTTCCCTGAGGGGCAGCAGGTGCTGCCATCTGCCCCATACTGGGCCCTTATGAGCTCATCTTTTGTCTGCCACCACCGAGGGGTTTCAGAACCTCCTGTCGGATGCACAGGAGGAAGGAAGCTCCTGATTGACTGGTGGAAGGAAGGGTGCGGCTTGTGATGAGCTTGAGTCCCATCCTGGCCCCACCAAGCTGGTTGGCACCGAGGGGCAGAGAGGCACTCAGGCTAGTTTCCGGGACAAGCATGTGGCAGGCTTAGCTCTCGAAGTCACTGCTCCTGCCCCAAGGCTCCTCTCTGCCTGGGTGAGAGGATGACTGCTGTCATCTGCCCATTTTGTCCTGGCCTCTCTGGGGCTGTGGGGTCCCTCTCCCCTAACCCCTGCCTACTGCACACGCACCCATAGTTCACCTCTTTTCCAGTCAGCCCCTGAGGAACTGGCTTCCTGAGAGTCCCCTGGCAGCCACTGGTGAGGAGGGCAGGGCTGTGTAGACCTCCCTCTTGCAAGCAGACTCTGCACAGACACCGTCCCCCACACAGTCACACGTACTGCAACGACAAAATCAGAGCGATCCTATCACCCAGCCAATCCAAGACAGGTCACAGACACACATTCTTCCAAAGACGCTTTTCTCATGCGTTTTCACGAATTCCCCAAATACTTAACCATAATGCAAGTCGCTAGACATTGTCCTCCGATGGTGATGGTGTGGCCTGCCTCCCTCTCTCTCTGTCCCTCACCTCTCCCCACCACCACTCTGGCACCACACATGTTGTCTCCAGCTTTCAGGCTCACTGGGGAGGGTGGATTCAGCCAGAACAATCAGCCCATATTGGGTCACCCGAGTCGCCCTGTCACACTCAGTCCCTCACGATAACACTCACATCAAGCACATTGCCACCGACCCCAGCATGTCAGATACACTCCCATATGGATGCACAATCACCCCCACACAGCCCCCCTCTCACACTGGAGTAGGACAGGTGGGCACTTGGCTTTACAGAATAAAGGGTGGTATGGGGGGATGGCGCCACCAGCCCCCTCAGGGCATTGCACACCTGCTGGGCCTGGCCTCCCCCACCTGCCTCCTTCCCCTCTGTAGCCTGCAGAGGGGTTGGTTTGAGGCCAGCTCCCCACCATGTGGAGCCTTGCTGAGGAGGGCACGCTGGTTCCTGGAATGTGGCCCCAGGCTGTGGAGGGGGCTTGGCTCCCAGGACTTCAGGCCCTGGCTGGGGAGTGGCGTATGGTCTGGCGCCTGGTCTCCCTGTCTCCCCCTCCTGCTCTAAGCTAGGGGCTGCCTCTGCCTCCCAGGACACATCTCCAAAGTGCCTGTGAGGGTGGGCCTGCTGCCCAGGCCCTCTGCACCCTCTCCCCTTGGCCTCTCCAGGCTTGCCTCGGTCCCACCCGGGGCCTCCCTGGAGGCCTGTCCACTCATTTGGCCAAACAACCTGGCATTCTGGCTGCAGCTGGATGGACCTGGAGCTGGAAGCAGCCCATGCAGACACACTGCCCCAGGTGGAGAGCTGAGGGCAGGTGGGGGAGGCGGTGTCACAGGCCCCAGCCTGCCTCCTGCTTCTGTTACCCTTGCAAGGGGGGCCACTTCCTTAGATATTTTAAATGTGGGGTCAACAAATCTCCCTTAGGGAGCGTGTGCTTGGTGGGGGCTTTGGGGCCGAGGGATGTGGTCTGAGTTGTGGTTGAATGGTGCTCACACTCCCTCCCTTCACCCACAACCCAGATTAAAGTCAAGAACCCAGAATTTATTTCTGTTCCCTTTTCAAGACTCCTTAGCAACAGACGTCTGCAGGGTGAGGGCTGGGGGTGCCAAGGCGGTGAGGGTGAGGTTCCAGGGAACTTTCCACCATCTTATTTCCAGGCTGACGCTCTACCTTTCAGACCGAAAGCCCCTCAGCAGGGCCTGGAGGCTTGTGAGGAGCCAGCTGGTCCCAGCCTTCAAAAGGGGCAGAAGTGGGGGAAGGCACCCTGGGCCCATGATCTGTTGGAGGAGACCTGGCTTCAGTCATCCCTGTAGCAGAGGGGCTGGCCGTGCGGGGGAGATCAAAGCCCCAGCCTCTCTCTATCTACTCTGCTCCCTGGTGTGCTGCTCTCTCTGGGACAGCAGCTCTGGTGAGAAGGCCTAGGCAGGACAAGACTAAAAAGCCAGGGAGCATGGGGCAGAGAGGACCTGGACCACCCAGGGATCCCCACGATGCTGGGGCTGGGCTAGGAGACCCCATGGGGGTGCAGTTTCTGCCTGGAGCTGGAGCCCGTGGTGGGGGCAGGGTCCCGCACAGGACGGATGAGCAGGCTTTAGGCTGGCTGCAGTGGCCTGCAGGGGTCCAGCTTGGCCCCAGCAGGTCTGAATCCTCGTATCCTGAGGGCTGGCTTCTAACTTGGGCCTTGGGGCTTTGCCTCCTGGCACAGGCCTCTTTGTATCCTTAATTTGAGAGAAGAGGCCGAGGGCCTTGTTCACAGAGCCTAGGACCTAAGACAAATGTGTAGGCTTTAACCTCATGATGTTCAACAGTCTGGCCAGCCCACTTGGGCAAGGCACCCCGAGGTGGGTTAAAAGGCTGAGCTGGTTGGAGCTCTCCTAGGTGCAGTGTGGGTGTGGGGCCCTCACCTTGCCTGGGCATGGGGGTGATGTGTGCAGGGCCTGCCCAAGAAGGTTCCCTAGCCCCCTGGTGCTCTTGGGGAGGGTGTCCTGCATGGCCCTAGCATTTCCTGGAAGGACGGCCAATTCCAAAGGAGAGGGAACTTGTGCGGCTTGTAAACCTGTAGGGCCTTGGCTGCCATGGAGCATGAGGCAGGCTGAGGCCCAGGAGGTGAGGGTTGGGCCTGACCCTCCAGCTGTGTCTTTCCAGGGGGCTAGAGGGGTACCTCTCCTGAAAGGTTGGTCCCCTTGATCCCTGGAGGTGGATGGGTGGTCACCTGGGCTGGGCCGGACAGGTCTGCAGGCAGTGGCTTGGGGTGCTCAGGCCAGACCCCCCCAGGGTTGGCAAAGCCACCTGCCCAGGCCTCCAGGACGAGGAGCAGACCCACCTCTGCCTCTCAGGGCAGGAGTGGCCGCCACCTCCTCCGTTCTCCTGGATTTCTTCGGACAGCCACCACCCTGGACTTGCTTCCCCAGGCCTCCTGTCTGTAAATAAAAGCCCGTAAACTGTGTACAGATTTATAGAGAAGCCAAGCTTGGGCCTTGGAGTTGCCATCAAAGGGCTGATGGCCCCAGCATCCCCCAGGTGCCCACCTGGCAGCTCAGCACACTTGGCCCCAGCGTGGCGAATACATGTAAATATTTTTCGTAGGCAGCGAGGCTCCAGAGAGCCCCCTGAAGACACTGACCCTGTGCGTCCTTTCTCTTGTACAGGCCCTCCAAGCACCCGGCCTGGGGGTGGAGGGAGTTTGTCCTTCCCTCTGCCAGGCTTTCCCTGCCCTTTCTCTTCCCCGTCACCTGATTATTAACCATACCTGTCCTGAGTTCATGGCCAAAACTCTCAATAATGAGACGCGGAGGAAAAAGGCTGGAGAAAGACCAGGGCGCCAGCCGGCTGTGGCTGTTCACATATCCCAGCCAGGGAAGGAACCGCTCCGGTTTCTGTGTTTGTTTCTTGTTTGTTTGTTTGTTTTTGTTGTTTGTTTTTTTAACACTTCCCTTGCTGTGCCCATTTATAAGAGGAAATAAAATAAAATTGAAATGATGTAGTGTGGCCAGAGTGTGAGATGAAGATGGAGGTCATTTGTGGGGGAGCAGCCCACTGCCCCCCTTGAACCTCAGCCACCCTCCCTTTTGAAGGAAATTGAGACCCAAGCAAGGAAAATTGACCAACAGCCCCTTGTGGGAACCGTTGTGGTAAAAGGTGCTGTTGGTTGAGAGCATTCAGGAAGCCACGAAGCTGGATGTGGTGAGGCCCGGTGGTGCTGTGGCTGGGCCGGGGCTGGGCTGTGGTGGCAGTGGGGGCCTGTGGTCCACCCCCAGAGGAAGAATCGTGGTTTCAGGCCACAAAGAGAACCTTGGGACCGCAGGGTACTGGCATCAGACCTGTGAGGCAGCATGGCTGTGGGGTCTGATAGGCCTGGTTTCAAGCCCAGGTCCACTTCCTAGCTCTGACTTGAGAAGCTACTTGGCCTCTCTGAGCCTCGAGTTTTTCACCTGTAAAATGGGATAACAATGAACATGCCCTAAGTGGACTGTGGCAAAGATTATTTGAGGAGGAATACTTAGCACAGTGCCTGGCACAGTCGGCTTCAGCTCCCAGGGTTTTCAGGGAGGATGCTGGAACAACAGAGCCCTGGGATGGGAGGAGTTCCATGGTCTGAACCACGGACTGATTCCTAGATCCCAAGGTGGTACAGCTTGCGGGGCCTGAGAGCCAGCCCTGGGCCCCTCCGTGTGGAAACCCCTCTTCAGGGCCTCAGCGGGACATGTGCCTGCACCTGCTTGCACACCTCTGTGACAGAGCTTGGTGCATCCTGGGGACTCTGCCTGTTGAGAAGTCCTTTGTAGCCAAAATCCCCTCCAGTGTTTCCCTTTTCTGGTCCTCAGTCTCTCCAGGGCCACACCAGGTCTGCCCCCGCCGTGGGATAGCTCCTCGGCATGTGGGTATGGTCATGGTCTTCCCTTCTCCAAGGAAAACCCCTCCGTGTCCCACAAATATTTCCTCTGTAAATTTAGTCCTCTTAAAATGTAATACTCACACAGGGTCCTGATGGCTCCCGGGTGGGTTGGCGTCAAAGGCCCCTGAATTTGGTACAAGATCCTGCCCACCCCTTTCCCACTCAACTAAGGTTCCTTGAGTGCCACTCTGTGCCGGGCCCTGTGCTTGGAACGCGATGAGAGGTCACCGAGGCAGACCCAGACCCTGCCCCCCTGAGCACTTACAGACAATACCCAGAGTCTCATGACTATGAATACTGGTCTTGGGTGGGTGTCCCTCTTCCTCGGCCACCAACTCCAAGCCCCACCACCCGGCCATGCCCCTACTGCCAGACAGTTCAGGGACAGAGCCCGGGTCCTCGGTCCTCACTGTGGGACCTTTGGCAACTTTGCCCTGACAGCCTCAGGCTGCACAGCTGTGAGATGGGATGCAGGCGCCCGCCTGGCCACTGGGGGTTCTAACAGGACTGGGTACCGGGCAGAAGCGCGCTGTGATGTGAGGGCTTCGTCTGATGCCGTTCAAGGGCCAGCTCTCGATATGGCTCCTCCTCCAGGAAGCGTTTAGAGGGTAATCCCCTGCTCCTCTGAGTCCCTGTAGCCTATAGTTATCTCCCCTCCTGCAGGGCTCCATCATCTTCTCATTTGAATTCTAGTGATGTGCATCCATATTTTATTCTCAAGAATGAAAAGTAGAAAGAGTATGATATTGGGGTCTAGAGCACCCAGCTGTGTGTACTTGGGCACAATGTTCTACCTCTTTGAGCCCATTTGTCTGCTATTTGGAGTCTGTTGTGAGGGTTAAATGAAATAATATGTTGAAAGCAACTAGCCTGAGGCTTGGATATATGAAAGTCAATAGCCAGACTTCAGTCCCTCTCTTTGTCTTGTCCGTGTTTTAGCAGCAGGCATTTTTCAAATCCCAGCTCTGCTACTGCCCAGTTATGTGACTGTGGCAAGTTATTTGAACTCTCAGTGCTCAGTTTCCTCAGCTGTAAAATGGGGACAATAAAAGTACTGCCTCAAATGCATGGCACTTAGAACCATTCCCGGCATAGAGTAGGCGCCAAACGACTGTGGGCTATTATGGTTACTGTTGATATTGTTGTCATTATTGTTGTCATCATTTGCTGGGCCAACCTGCTGCCCATTGAATGAGTAAATGACCCTGAATCTGGGTAGAAATCAAAAGTTTGTGGCAGTTCTGGTGTGAACGATGCCTTAGGCTTAGGCTCATCAGAGTCAAGGCCAATGTCTGCGCACCAGACACAAGGGCCACACAGATGGGCTGGGCACTGCTGGGAGCTGGAGCATCTCTCTCGGCCCCTTGGCTCAAGGGATGGCAGCAAACAGAGGGGGAGGGAGGAAGAATAGCTGATTGTTTCCTGCAGCCTGAGAGGCCACAGTGCTGCCTGCCTAAGATGCTCCGAGAACAGAGTGTGCTCAGCTTCTGAGGGCCGCCCACCGTGTCTCTGCTGGCTGGAGGGTGGACTGGGGGCAGACCCAGGTCCAGGTTCACCACTGCCAGCACTGCAGGCCTCATCTGCACTCAGGAAGGCAGGAGGCTGGGCCTGATGTGGGGGTGGGGGAATTAGGGCTGGAGAGCACACAGCAAAAGCCATGGGATGATAAGGGCTCTTCTCACATTATCTCATCTCAGCCTCATGCAGGTCTGGCCTCCTGGCCAGTGGACACTGAGGCTGAGAGCAGAAACCCGAGGTGCAGTGGCATTCCAGTCTGGGTTTCTGCCTGAAGTCAGAGTTTTTTCAGTTCCACCCTCCTGTCCCCTCCCAGGACCATTAGCTACTGTGTGAGCATGGGCAGGTTACTAGGCTTCTCTGAACCTCGATTATGTCATCAGGAAGAACAGAAGCAGCAGGGTATTAAATGGCTCAAAAGATACACTAACACATGACATTTGTGGGCTGCCTCCCAACTGTTGGTGTCCATTCATAGATGGTATCTCATTTAGTTCCTGAAGAGAATGGTTACCACCACATTATGGATGAAGACATTGACCTTATGAACAAAATCCACACTGTGGGTCCTTCTACAGGACAAACAGCCCAGTTTCTGAGATGGGGATGAAAAGAAGACATGGAGAGGGAATTTATAGATATATTTAAAAGGCATGTTAACAATCAATGTGGGAACTTGATTTGTATCCTCATTCAAACAAATTAAAGAAAAAATGAATTATGAGACAAGTGGAAATTTGAACATGAGTATTTGTTATAAAGGAATCATTGTCAGTGTTCTTAGATGTGATAATAACCCTGTAATTATGTTTTTTAAAAAAAGAGTCCAACGCTTTATACAGACTGAAATATTAGCAGGTGAAGTGATGGGATGTCTGGGTTTGGCTTACAAATAATATGGGGAGGAGTCGGGAGAACAGAGGAAATAAGACGGGACTTGAGATGATAATTGTAGAAGCTGAGTAATGGGTGCATAGGTTCATATTCTATCTCCTCTACGTTTAAATTTTGAGTTCCCCATAATAAAATGTTTAAAAAGAAGAAACTGATTACAGCGGGGCATGAGGACTTGGTAGGGGTTGCACGCCTAGTAAACTCAGAGCTGGGTCTTCTGATTCCAAGCTCAGGCCCCCTGCCCCAGCCCTGTCCCTGCTGTGGACTCCTACAATGTCATATTTCCTCCCGCCTAATGTCGTCCACTTCCAGATGGCCAGCACCTTCATTGGCTGCCTTCCCTCCCCTTTTACTCTTGTGAATGGCTTTAATGAAAGAATTCACAGGAACTTGTGATGATTGACATAGTGTCAGCTATTGCCCTCCTCCAGAGGTGTTTGCATTTTGCCAGAGAGCGTAATGGAAATGGCCCCTCCCACATGGGTGGGGTACCAGGGCTTCTCAGGGAATTCTTGGCCTCGCTTATTGTTCACATCAGTCCTGGGAGGGGGGCCTGGTTGGGGGCTCCTCCTCCCACTTAGAAGGACATTGGATTTGGTCACTTTCTCCCCATTTTCAAGGCTCTGGCCAAGTCTAGATCTTTATCATGTCTCGCTGGAAATACTGAAATAGGCCCTTGCCAGCCACAGCAGGCTGTAAGGAAAGGGGATGGCCTTTGGCATGGGCACTCAGCTCTCCACTAGCCTCCACAAGTTCCTGCCAGGTTGTCCCGGGGAAGCCACTTTGCACCTGAGACTGGGCTTCTTGCTCTGTATAATGGGCACAGTGAGGACTCCTACAGACATTTGTGGGGATCCAAAGAGGAGGCAGATCAGCACAATGACACACAGCAGGTAACAGCAGCGGTCGCCACAGTAATGGCTGCAACAACAAATGGACTGCACTTACCATGGGCCAGACATGTCCTAAGCACTTTTTAAATACGTGTGGCATTTAGAATAGTAAATGCCTGGAACATGGTAAGTACTATATAGGTATTTATAGAATAAACCAGCTTTGCATGTATGAGCTTATTTATGCTAGGGACTGAATTGTCACCCACCCAAAATTCATACGTTGCACCTTTAGCCCTCAAGGTGATTGTATTTGGAGATGGGGTTTTTAAGGAGGCAGTTAAATGAGGTCATAATGGTGGGGCCTTGGGAAAATAAACCAATAGGATTAGTGTCCCTTACTTTTTAAGAAGAGACGCCAGAGGGCTTGGTCACTCTGCATGTGCAAAGCAGAGGCCCCGTGAGCGCGCAGTGAGGGCAGCCATTGGCAAGCCTGGAAGGGCGCTCTCACTAGCGGCTGTCGGCGTCAGCACCTTGATCTTGGCCTTGCAGCTCCCAGAACTGTGAGGAAACAAATGTCTGTTGTTTAAGCCAGTAAACCCTGTCTACAGTATTCGGTTATGGCAGCTCAAGCAGACTAAAGCAGTTAAATGAGGTCATAATGGTGGGGCCTTGGGAAAATAAACCAATAGGATTAGTGTCCCTTACTTTTTAAGAAGAGACGCCAGAGGGCTTGGTCACTCTGCATGTGCAAAGCAGAGGCCCCGTGAGCGCGCAGTGAGGGCAGCCATTGGCAAGCCTGGAAGGGCGCTCTCACTAGCGGCTGCGTCAGCACCTTGATCTTGGC